AAACATTCAAACCAGTTAAAAGCAAGAAACAAAACAGAGCTGCTGGACTATCTTAACAAAAACACAACAGGAATACTCACAGATATACTAAATCCAGGCCTTGGAACACAATAGACATTCATAAGCATCCTGAGTCAACACTGAGTTATATGCTAACAGGGACCCCACCCCTAAAATTGTAAAGGCACAATTTTTTAATTTGTTGTTGTGTTAATTTTAATTGTCCCAAATGTGGTTTTTCAAGAGGAAACAGAGCTTTCTGGTTTTCTTTGAAGAAAACTTCTTCAGCTCTGACTGGATGGTGGGAAATGGAAGAACCATCTAGTCAGAGCTGAAGAAGCTTCTCGAATGAGAAACGAAAAGTCTTCCAAGAAAAACCAGAAAGTTCTGTTGTCTCTGGAAAAAAAGCATCTTTGGGAAAACCATGACCTGGATGACTGAGAATCTTTACAGACTTTTAATGTCCTCCGATTAAATTTAAATTCAATGAAATTATTCCAAAATCATTCTACACACTTATTACTCCTTGTAGGTTTCCATTTTAAGTGGGACTCAGAGGACCAAACTCAATGTCCTGGACACAGAAACCACAGGGAGGATATCCTCAAAGGATCAAAGGGATTGAAAACAATCCCCAAAAAGAAACCAGGAAGACCTGAAACGTCAGCTTTCTGATTTTACCCATGGTGACTAAAAAAGTACTCGGAGCTCTATTGCAATGGTGGCTAGGTGACTTTTGAGGAACAGGAAGCAAACACTGTTTTTTTTAAAAATGCAGAGAAGTTCATTCTCCCTAGTCCAGTGATGGCGAGCCTTTTCAGCACCGAGTGCCGAAAAGGGAGTGCGGGCGCGCTCATCTGGCCCGCAACCAGGAAGAGGAGCTGCCCAGGGGGCATGCGCACATCGGAAAATGAACTTCCAGTTTCCGGCGCACACTTGCACACTGGCCAGCTAGTCTTCTGGTTACTGGCCAGCTAGTCTTCTGGTCATGCGCGCATGACGATCAGCTGGCCGACGCACATGCTCATGCAGGAAAACGGAAGACCAGTTCTTCCGGGTTCCAGGACTGCCACACGCACGAAGGCCAACTGATCATCACATGCGCATGTGCACCAGAAACCCGGAAGAGGAACAGGCAATGCTGCGCGTGCCAGGCAACACTGCTCCGTGTGCCACTTCGGGCACGTGTGCCGTAGGTTCGCCATCACGGCCCTAGTCCCTTGAACCATTCAAAGACAGAGGTTGAAACCAAAACAGAGGCCAGTTATCAACTTGCAAAGCTTTCAAGTTGCCATGAGCAGGAGGGAGGGAGAATTGATAAGAGTTGATTGATTTCCCTAACTGAAGTTACATTCCATACATGCTTCCTAACTGCAATCAGAAGGAGGGTGTTGGATTTCACAGCCAGCCAAAGTGGTTAATTGGAGAATGTGATTTATGACATGGCCAGAGAGGAGGGGAGAGACAGGGTCATAGGGGAACGTAAATCTACGTGGGATTAGTTCTAACTGCATCCAAATATTGCCGAAATGGTGCTCCTAATAAATGACTGTATTTCTTTTGAAGTTCGGCTCATGGCTCATGAATTAATTAGGGCATCTTTCGGAAACTTCACAGCTGTCCAACCCAAGAACTTCCTTGCAGGTTCAGACTGGAGGGTTTATCCAAGAAGGTCAACATCTAATGGCAGCAATTAAGAGGCTTGTTCTTCCACCAAGGATCTCAATAAACATTCCAGGCTTGGTTGTGGGCATGTAAGAAACTCCATACTTCTATAGCCATGATGGCGAACCTATGGCATCCGTGCCAGAGGTGGCACGCAGAGCCCTCTTTGCTGGCACACATGCCGACACCCCAGGCGTTTCTTTCGTGAGCTTCTGTTTCCCTGCAAATGACGAAACAAAAGCTCACGAAAGAAAAAGATCTTACCTCTTGCCGCGCTGCTGGTTTTGGGATGTCTTGCCTCCTGCCGGCCAGCTGGTCTTCTGCTGTGCATGTCCACGCATGTGTGTACCTTTTAGTTTGGACATGCATGCGCGCCCAGTTTGGGCACTCGGTGTCTAAAAGGTTCGCCATCACTGTTCTATAGTCTCTGCTCCCCACTTTCCTCTAAGTAAGACTTTCCACCTTAAGGAATTAGGCGGCATAGAAGGATGGGGGAAGTTTGACTAGATGCTTCCTCTGCATTTTCTCTTTGTCATCCTCCAGCATCTGTTGCTTCCCTCAACCTTCTTCTCCAATTCTCCATATCTACTCTTCTTCAGATCTGCCTTTATGCTCAACAGGGACACATCACATACTCTGTTATGTTTTGGGGAGGCCAAGAATCAGGGCCTTGTACCACCTTTTCCAATGAAGAAATTGTTATTAAAGGGAATCAGAAAAGATGAATCAACCATAGTTTTATGTTTGGGGGGGGAGAGAAGGAGGGAGGGAGAGAGGAGGGGAGAGAGACTGGAAACAATGGGACCACCATTACCACCAATGTACAGTATACTCTCGGGATTTCTTAGTGGTCTCCTGTCCTATCAAATCCAATCCTTTAAAAGATTAATCTTTTAAATTCAACCAAGGTCAACTAGGTGCCTCTGCCTGCTGGGATCGCTGCTTTTAATTACTAGTTTAATTAGTCCATTTCTAGTCCGTGGGGACTAGAAATGGGATTGCAGGCTGAAGGTCTAGCACCAGGTTAGAAAGCAAGAGACCATAAGTTCAAGTCCCACCTTGGCCATGGAAGCCAGCTGGGTGTCCTTGAACCAGTCCCTCTCTCTCTCAGCCCAACTCACTTCACAGGGTTGTTGTTGGGAAAACAGGAGGAGAAAAGTGCATTGGATATGTTTGTCGCCTTGAGTTATTTGTAAAAAATAATAAAGGCAGGAAATAAGTGTATGTATCTATATCCATTTACTGTATTTCCACCTAGAGAATCAAGCATGAAACCATGGCTTCATGATCCAAGTACATCTGAACTAGGATACAGGTTGTCCTTGTTTAGTGACCACAACTGGGACCCTCAACTTGGTTGTTAAACAAAGCAGTCTGAAAGTGAAGCCACAACTGTTTACAATCTTACTTCAGCTTTTCTTTGCTTTACAGACCTGCGAAGGTTGTGAACGCAAGGATGGTTGCAAAGTTATCTTTTTTATCACTATTGAACAGTCACTAAGTGAGGACTATCAAGGTCATCTGATCCAGCACATCTCATCCAGGAAGTAGATCTTCTGCAATGAAGGATCAGATCACCTTACCAAAAATGTCTCCTGGTTTCTAGCTTAGTACCTTAAAATACTGCTGACCTTGTTAAAAATCGTTAACAGGCCTGAGCAAAACTCTGATTTCTGTCAGTCACCATTTTCAAGTTCCAATTCTGCACACTAAGAGTTTCATAAGGCGTTTTAAATTAGTATTGCTATTTCCTGACTGACTGGCTTTTTAAAAAAGTATATTGAGGGAAATTTGGATTAAAATTCATCAAGGAAAATATTTTGACTATACTAGTGGTTTCCTCATGCGAGATGGGGGATTCTGGGAGTTGAAGTCAGCACATCTTAAAAGTTGCCAAGGTTGAAAACACTGCTCTAAATTATCCCTCCCGACAAATTAAACCCCAACTCGTTTGAATTTATTGAGGCTGGGAGAAAAATGACTTATTTGAATCCTGATTGCTAAACGGACCAAATGGGTCAAGCTATTTTTCCAAGGCCAGACAAGGAATAATGGATGGAAACTGATCAAGGAGAGATTCAACCTAGAAATAAGGAGACATTTTCTGACAGGGAGAACAATCAACCAATGGAACAGAAGTTGCCTTCCGAAGTTGTGGGAGCTTCATCACTGGAGGCTTTCAAGGGGAGATTGGACTGCCATCTGTCAGAGTCTCTTGCTTGGGGGTTGGACTAGATGACCTACAAGGTCCCTAACAACTCTGTTAATCTGTTAAAATCTGGACCTAAACCAAGTGTTGTTGTTTTTTTAGTGAAGTGTTTACAGCACTACCAGCATCCAAGCCTCTTCTAGAAGACCAGGGCAAAATAAATAAATAAATAAATAAAATAAAAAGGCCTCCCATTCTTTCTCTGCCCTCTCTCATTTCCCCAACACAACGCGGTTACTAGCTGGGCCTATTCCATATGCGCAAAAGGCTTACACGCACTTATGTGTCAGGTCGCTTAACGTTCATTTATTCCTTCCCAGGCTGTGCAAAATAGGGTTTGTTTGTTTGTTTTCGGCCCACCGCCTCCCCTTTCCCGCATTTCGGGTAAAAAATAACAAAAAAATCCAATACAATCCAATGGCCCATTTCTTCCTCGCCAAAGCCTTAGTCGTCGGGTGGCTCCCGTTGCGCGGCCTCGCACGTACTCCGCAGTTTTCGGCTTCTCTCCCCCCCCCCCCCCCCCCCCCCCCCCCTGAATCCCGTGAACACGGCCCATAATGATCCCCCCCCCTCATTTTGCCCCGTCTTCACAGGCATGCATTGCACGCCCGGCAAAGGCCGATTCCCTCTCCTCCGAGCAAAAACAAACGCAAGGGAGCAGCAATATATCCTTCCTACTACCCAGTCTCTGTTGTGCGTACAACACACACACACACACAAACACCACATACGCAAACCTCCCCCCCCATTTTTTTTCTTGGCTCCCAGTGGATAAGCCAAAAGAAGAGCTCCCTTAACAAGGTGCAGTGACGGACTTCATCCCCCCCACCCACCCAGCCCCCCCAAAATGGGAAAACAGCCTTTTCTTCCCCTCAAAGTAATTTCTTCCCCTCAAAGTAATTTCTTCCCCTCAAAGCAAAGTCAATAAATAATTCCCCGGGCAATTGCAAGCGTGGGTCATATTGGTTCCCTCCCTTGCAGTGTCCTTCCCCTCCCCTCCCCCCATCCCGCCGCCATGGCACGCAACGCAACCCCCCGGGCTTTTCGGATAGCCCCCCCCCACCCCCCAATAAGAAAATCGCCCCCCCCCTTCCTGCCTGCCTTCCTCGATCTGGATTCCACTGACCCGAAAGAGGTAGCGGGAGGCTGCGCTGCGCGCTAGAGTCCAACCGACGGCGCAAAGGAGAAAAAGCAGCGCCTCCGTCCAAGTCAGCCGGGCATTCTCGGCCCACGTCCGGCGGGACAGTTCCCAGCCGCAATCTGTGCAGCTCCGCAGCGCCCCGACTAGGCTCCGGTAACTACGCCGCACCAACTGCTCGTAGCTCGGCATAGGCTCGGGCGCCTGCATCCTTCGCTCCTCCGGCCGCTCTCGCGGCTCGGTCGCGCAAGCACGAGTGGCAAGTGCAAAAGCCGCCTCCTGCCGCAGCCGCCCATCAGCGCGCGCGCCGGTCCCGCACCAGCTGTTTGCAGCTGGAAAGAGCGGGGGGGGGGGGCCCCGCTCTGCGCACGCGCGCCGGCACGCGCGCAAGACCTGCCTCTGAAAGAGCGAAAAAGCGAGAAGCCCCGCTTGGCCGCCCGCGGGTGCCGACCTTCGGCGGCCGCCAGAGGGCGCTCGGCAACCCCCCCCCCCCCCCGCGTTGGAAAGAAGACCACGCTCGTCCAAAGAGCCCGGCGGGGCTGACTCGCGAGTAAAGGCGCGGTGGATCGCAGCCCCCTCTTGCAGCGGATCTCGCTTCCTTCGAAAGATCCTCCAGGATTTAAGGCGGCTTGTTCGCCATCGTGCACGCACGCGGATGCAATGCATGCGTCGGACTGCTTGTTTAAGGGAAGCTGCCAGTTCAACTCCAACGCAAGAGGAAAATCCGCGATTAAATCGGATTTAGATGATCTGCTCTGCCTGGATCTCCCGAGATTTCCCAGCGGCTGCAATGGGGATCCACTCCGCTTTAGGGTAAGCGGCGTTGGAAGATGCTCTGCGGTCCCGAAACCCTCCCGAGAGATGCGAAACCTGCGGAGGGGTTCAGGTACGACGAGCCAACCTGCCGACCTGAGACTTGGATTGTAGAACTACGTGGGAACTGGGATGGGGAGGAGAAGGCTTCGGGGTTTGCTAACTGCCCTCTTGAGTTTAGCTTCGGGCAAAATGCATCCCTTCGCCCTGCTTCAGTGGTCGGTGAACTTGGAAACGTCCGACCCCATTTGGGGATGGCTGCAAATGTCCCATTTGCTTTTATGTCCCTCTCTCCCGTTTCCGAATTCAGAAATTTTTACTTCTCGATATAAACACGGGCATAGGTCGAACGGTTGTAAAAAATAAAAATGTGTTGTAAAAATGGGGCTTGGAATTCTCTATTTTGTATACTTGTTGGGGAAGGGAAGGAGATGTGCGGTAGAAATGCAAGATCTGTTAATTTATGTGGGAGATATATTTTATTTTATTTTTACTTATTTTTATATGCCGCCCTTCTCCGGAGACTCAGGGCGGCTTACAAGGTGTTAAGCAATAGCCTTCATACCTTTGTATATTTTATACAAAGTCAGCTTATTGCCCCCACAAATTGGGTCCTCATTTTACCCACCTTAGAAAGGATGGAAGGCTGAGTTGACCTTGAGCCTGGGGAGAATTGAACTCGCAGTAATTGCAGGCAGCTATATATAAAATAAAGGTAAAGGTTCCCCTTGCACATATGTGCTAGTTGTTCCCGACTCTAGGGGGTGATGCTCATCTCCGTTTCAAAGCCGAAGAGTCAGCGCTGTCCAAAGACGTCTCCGTGGTCATGTGGCCGGCATGACTCAACGCCAAAGGCGGACGGAACACTGTTACCTTCCCACCAAAGATGGTCCCTATTTTTCTACTTGCATTTTTTACATGCTTTCGAACTGCTAGGTTGGCAGAAGCTGAGACAAGTAAAGGGAGCTCACCCTGTTACGCGGCACTAGGGATTCGAACTGCTGAGCTGCCGACCTTTCGATCAACAAGCTCAGCGTCTTAGCCACTGAGCCATAGCCCACATAAATTAAAGTACCTGGCAGTAGGCATTTCTACACAGAACCAAACTCCACTGAGCACAATTCCATGATATTTCAGGAAAATTGTCAAGGCGGGATGCTTCTAATGCCACGCATTTGTAAAGTTTATAAAATGTTTTATATTTTAGCCATTCTGTCAGTGTACTCTAGGGCAGGGGTGTCAAACTCAAGGCCTGGGGCCTGGAACCGGCCTACGGTTCTTAGATTTGGCTGGTGGCGCCACCCTGGAAACAGTGAAGAACTGGCTCACAGTGCTTCTCCCAGCAAAAATCGGTTCCCAAGCTCAGTTTTCGGTTGCCACAGCCTCCTGCAACCTGCAACCCTCTGCCAGTGTGCGGCCCTCCTGAGCTCCGTTTTCACTGGCAGAAGGTTGCAGGAGGGAGCTTGGGAACCTGTTTTCGCAGGCAGAGCGCTCCGGCTACTACAGGCACCCCCAACAGGAGTGATGTTGAGCCGGCCACACCTATCCTGGCCATGCCCCCAAGCCCCTCCCAGGTCAAACACAACCCTGATGCCGCCCTCAATGAAATCAAGTTTGACACCCCTGCTCTAGGGGGGAAAAGACAGAGCTAGTCCTCAATTTAGGACAATTGAGCCCAAAATTTATGTTGCTGAGAAATTTGTTAAGTGAGTTTGCCCCATTTTAGGACTTTTATTGCCACAGTTGTTAAGTGACTCACCACAGTTGTTAAGTTAGTAACATGGTTGTTAAGTAAATCTGGCTTCCCCATTGACTTTGCTTGTTGTGACACAGCCAACCGTCATAAATATGAACCAGTTGTTAAGCATATAAATGTAAATCACATGACCATGGGGATGCTGCGATGGTCTTAAGTGTGAAAAATGGTCATAGGTCATTTTTTTCAGTGCCGTTGTAACTTTGAATGGTCACTAAGCAAACTGTTGTAAGTTGAGGACTACCTGCATGTGACACAACACAGTGGTCTGTAATTTTCAACTAGGCTGGGGTCTCCCTTTTTGAAGATAGGGATGACCGTGGCTAATGACCATAGGTTAGGCAAGGAGCTGGTTCTGAAAGATAACTCATAGATTGTGCTATGGCATTGGAAAGCTTTTTAAAGAAGAAGGCACATAATCCATCAGGGTCAATAGATAGAGATGGTTTTAGATTGTGTAGTGCCTTTTCAACATTATCTTCTGTAAAATCAATATGTAGTAGATCATTGCAATTAGTTGTACGATTAGGAAATGTGGGGCATGTGCCATTACTGTTAACAAAGACTGAACTGAAGAAAGCGTTGAAGAGGTTGGCCTTAACAGCTTCATCATTACAGTCTTTTCCATGAGGCTCTTTTAGGGGTGGGATGGTTTTCGAGTCTTTTAAGTTTGGTGTTTACAAAATTATAGAAGGCGCAGGTGGATTTCCTGTGTAAGAGTTGTTCCTTGTTTGCAGTGGTATTTGGTGCATTCTGCCTTTATCTGGCAGCATAAGGTTTTGTAGCGGCTTTTAAAGTTAGCTACGTAGCCAGTTTTGTTTTTTCGCCAGAGATAATTTTTTTTGATTGAAGCTTCCTTATTGTTATGGGTAATTTGTTTTTTCTGCTTTTGGGGGTTACTAGTGGTACATATTGTTTAATGACTCTTGACTTTGAGTAAAAAAGTGTTATAGTGGTCTTTAGCAGTATTACAGCCAGTGAAGAGAATGTGCCAATTGAGAGATTGGCAGCTATGAGATCATAGTTGGCTTTTTTGAAGTTATAATTTGGGGTCCCATCACCAAATAGTTTTGTCCCATTGACAAAAGCCAGTCATGCTGTGGTCACTGTTGGAAAAGGGTTCTTTTATTTGTAGACCATAAATTGAAATTTTAAATTTTAAAATTCAATTTAAAATGATCGCAAGTCACTTTTCAGTGCCGTTGTAACTTCAAACGGTCACTAAATGAACTGTTGTAAATTGAGGACTACCTGTACTCTTATGTCCTTACAATATATGGAAAATTAGATGAATAAGTCCTCTCTTTTTTTGTGTGTTTTAATTTCCGGATATTTCAAAACAGCATGAGGTGGGCTGTTCTAGTGGTGGATTGCCCCTGGTTCGCACCCGTTCTATAGAACCGGTAGTAAAACCGGCGGGAGGCTCCGCCCATTGACCCCGTCATCAAAATGCTTCTGCGCATGCACAGAAGAGCACGCGTGCGCAGCTCCGTTACAAACCAGTAGTAAAGGTAGGTAGAACCCACCCCTGAGCTGTTCATAATATGGAGACTTGGAGGGCTTTACTGTGTTATTCTATTCATCAATATCAGCACTATTCATCGATTTCCAACCCACCTGGAAGTATTTAAATTGCTTAAGAAATCCACAAAAAAGACAGGAAGATAGAGCAGTGGGGGGGTTTTGTCCTATTTTTTCCAACTTTTGTACAGTAAACTCTTGATTTAATGACCTTCCATGTGGTAGATGTTGGAGGCAGCAAAAAAAAAAAACTTTGCCATTTTATACATCCCATTCTCATTTAGGTCTAATGCAGTGTTTTTTCCAGTTTTAAGATATGTGGACTTCAACACCCAGAATTCCCTTGCCAGCCATGCTGGATGGGGAATTCTGGGAGTTGAAGTCCACACATCTTAAAAGTGGCCACGTTTGAAGAACACTGATCTAATGGAATCTTCAAAATCAATCCTTTTATGTTATTTGCAAATCGATTTATTTGAATGAACCGTAAAAAACCCAAGTTTATTCCGCATCTGAATTCACCTTCCCTTTTCAAGCTTTTAAGTCTCTAGCTAGGAAATGACCTTCAAAGATTCTCCATTCAGGCTGAAAAAAAAAAAACCACCCATTTAACTTCCAGCAAGCCGAAGAGTTGAAGCTGCTGACTTGTTGCTGTCGGGCATGAAATCATCTTGTTCATCCAGAGGAAAACTTGCCAACGCTTTTGGGTTATTTCTTGCGGCTCCGGGAAACTCCTCCTTCCCGAACAAGGCGGAATGTTGGCCTCCTGCACTGTCACCCCAGCAGGAAGAGAAGACAGGCTGCGTCCCCATTGTTTCCTTGGTTTTAAACCTTCATTCATTCCTCGGCAGGCCGTCAACCAAGGGCCAGAGGCCTGGCAGACAAAGGGAACATTCATTCCTCACCCTCGGACCGACCAGCCATTTCTAGCCCAGAACAGCATGGCTCTCCCTCCCTCCCACCCAAAAACCTACCCAGGGAACATGACAATGGGGCCATTCAGAAATGCTGCAAGTGAGTCAGGTACAAAAGGCATGGGGGACGTTTTAAATCTCCCCCTCCCTTCGTGTTCCCCTCCTCCTGTTTCCCCCCCCCCAAGTCCTGCTTAGAGGCCAAGGGGAAGAGGGAGGCAGGCTACTACGTTCCCACGCCATCTTTTGTCCGTCCGTCCACTCCTTTTTAACTAAATGCCAACGAAGGAGAAGAGAGCCATGATGCAACA